AAGGAGGTCCGTGCCCGAGAGAAAGAGCCAGCACTGAACCAGCTTCCTGGAGCCCTGCTGCGCGGGCAGCCTTCCATCCAGCGCGCAGGCTGCTGGGCAGACCCTACCCACACAGCCTGTGTGTGCGATCTGACGGGTGCTCAGGCTCCGTACAGCCTAAGATTTTATTCAGAGAGAAGTTACCAGCTCACAAAGTGTGACTGGGGCACTAGATGGTTACTGCTGCTGACTCACGTGGCCAAGAGACTCTTTTTTGAAGTGGGCAAAATAAAGGGCACCTTGCCCTAAGAGGCTCAGTTACATTTATTGTTTGCTCACTCGGACTTTTCTATGTCAGATCTAAACCTCTGTGTATTCTTAGGTATTTATTTTTATTTTGTATTTGAGACATAGTACTATAACAGTGACAGGAGGGGGTCTTTCTTCAAAGACTTTGACAGAGATACACAGTTATTGCTTAGGTCAATATCGCTGGTTTTGTAACTTTTCAGTGAATTTTACTGAAGAATTACCACTCAGCGGTGTTGTGCAAACACTCATGGACAGTGCGTTTGTTTTTAAAAAGCTAGTTTATTCGTAGCTTTTGCATAGTGTAACGTGTAGACAGTCAGATCTCTCAAGTGGGATTGTCGATCACTGTCCAGGTGGTGGCAAGTGGCAGGAGGCTCCGTCCTTGCACGGCATCATGAGCTGCATCAGGAGATTCCCCAAATTAAGATTCACATCTGTGTACTAACTGGCGGGGGGGAGGGAGGAGGAGGGGGGACAGGTCCTGGACCACCCAGCAAACTCATGGGTTAAGTGCACTGGGTATGTGCAGGGGCAGTTACACCACAAGTACAGTACAAACTTAAGTTTCATCCTTATGTCACAGTGATAAATTAAATTGCATAGATTGGGCCACAGTATACATGTATGTATACAGTAGTTCTGAGTTGGTTTTACTTTTTCAAACTCTCCATTCTTATCACTTTAGTTAGAGCAAATTTAAACAGAGACAACCAATAATGGTGATTCATTATATTGTAAGAAAATTCAGCTTTCAGCTCCATTCTTTATGGGTACTTTATGCCATGTAAAAGCTATGAAAGCTATGTTGATGGTCTCAGTCTCTGTTTTAGTGAGTAGAATCTGAGCTGTTCAAATCACAGTAGATATTCTGACACAATATGGTTGTGCTAAAACCTAAGAGAATTACTGCCATAGCTGTGCTGTACTGGGTGGTGCTTGTGAAATTATGCATCCAACTATACTTGCATGTTGGACCTGAATATTTCATAATGCTTTGACCTTTGTCTGATGTTTATGGTTACCTCTCAGAAGACTTTTTATCACTGAAATCAAATAAATTTGAAAGCCTTGCTTTATCCAGTTGACTCCTCTAAACTAATGTGCAAGAAAACTGTAATTGCCATTCCTCTGCCAAGAAGCCTGTAGGTGGACATTGGTGTCATACAAGTAATGGCCTTTTGTTTAAGGGAATCTTGCGTTGAAGTATTTGTTGATTTCATCCCCTCTGTCCCAGCCTTGTGTGTGATGATGTGACTCCCTAGGTTGCACTCTCTTCAGATAAGTTGCTGCTAAAAGGAGGTAAAACAATGCTGCTTTTATAAAGCCAGGGTGGGTGGTTTTATCTGAAGGTGTTTCAGTGTCAGTTATGTGTGTCTTCATGACCAGCTGGGTTGACCTGGATAGGTGAGATGCACCACGGTGCAACACAATCCTCTCCTGTTACAAATTCTGTTACTAAATCCTCCTGCACAATAGCAAGGAAGGTTTCTCAGGTGAAGTGGGTTGCATGTTAGTTAGAGTCAAACAACGCCAGAATTGAGATGGAGAATTTTTGGATGTACCAGGTTGAGTATCGTAAGAAAAATGTAAGTAGATTTGCAAGAGGAGAAATGGGATAACTAGTACATTTTTGTTGCTGCACTTAACACTTCGTAATTCCATTGATGGACCTCTCTATGTAATAACAGCATGCTTCACATGAACTTACTATGTTTGTTCTGACAGCATTTTTGTTAGGCTTCCAAAACTTGTTTTGTTAACAGACAACAAAGCAGTCACGAATCATTTATTTTAGACTTCAGTTGTAGTGTTTTGAGCAGCTATGCAAGTTGTCTATCCACTATGATATATCCAAATAATTCTTGTTATTGCTGTGACTGCATTCTTTCCCTGTGCATTGTATATGGTACTTCTTAAAATGCATTTTGATGCAGAAGAGAACGGAGTGCTTATTGTTCAAAGACTGAACTTTTCTGTACAAATGTTCTTGGGGACAGCTCTCATGTCATGTCACGTAGCAAACTTTATATGATGTTGGATATTTGGGTTTGGTAGTTTTGGTTTTGGTTTGTTGGTTGTTGTTTTTTGGGTCTTTTTTCCCCAGAAAAATTTGAGCAGGCATTGAGCAGGCATTCAAACAGAGCACATGGAAAGCTGTGTGATTTATTTTGATGGTTGCTTAATTCTGGTAACTTTGTAGATGAAAATACCTGAGTAAAGATATTTGTAGTGCTACTGGAGTAACTGTTAATACCTTTTAAATGGTGCAAAATTACTTAATGTCAGCAACCAACTGGTTTAAATGAAATCATTGCTATCACTTTAGTGTGTGAATATGAGAACTTCTAGACATTTTAAAGAACTTTTTTTTGTGGAAACATTTGATTCTAAAATACAGCATGCTTTACTTGATTTCTTTGTTTATTATTTAAAGCTTAATTCTACAATAACCCGCTGCTATTATTAGGTTGATAGCATTGTGCACCTTTTAACTTTAATCCTAATACAGAAATACTACGTAACTGTTGGGAATGTGAGCACTGTGAGGGCGCTCTCTTAAGCAAACAGGCATTGCCGTTTGTGCAGTTGAGTCACTGTGGCACTGTAACCCTGGTAGTCGCACAGCGACTCAGGGGAGCCTGCATCTCTCCCACAGCCCCTGCATGAATGCAGTGGTGCAATGAGCAACCCTTCAGTCCGACAGCGCGAGCATGTGCCAGTGTTCTAGGGACCATTTCACAGCTGCATCTGGTCAGGGGCTGTTTCACAGCTGCATCTCCTTTTTGCCCTGCAGTTGTATTTCAAAATACAGGGAGATGCAAGGGCTGCTCTTTTACCCAGGAGATAGCTGTAAAAGGAGTTGCTTCTGAACTCTTTGGAAGCCCTTGATAGTTAATTATAACTCTAATATTTACTAATTAGCAAAGATAGACCTTTTAAAGGAGTGAGGGTAAAGAGAAGGAGGAGGAGAAGGGAATTTATTTTCTTGTTTTGTTCCATATCTGTGAAGCTAAGCTTGCAATACTTCAATATGAACTCAATGTTTCAGCCGGAGTGGAGGCATAGCAGGAGGGCACTCCTAGATTGGAGCTGGAAGCGTAGCTCTGTTCTGGTATGACTCATTGGCTTAGAGAAAAGCCATGTAATTGTTTGTGAAACCAGAAGAGTAGTATTTGACTGTTTTGCCATCACTGATGAACTGTTGAGCTGGCAAAGCTAGGGCCAAACTCCCTAAGTCATGGTGTAGAATGCCAGGGCTGCTGAGCTAAACACCCAGCTTGCATAGCTAAATGCTAAATCTTCCACTGAGGGTTCACATTTTGGCATATGCACTGACATGTTTTGCAGGTATCTCCCTAAGGTCTGCCTTTAAAAAAGCCTGCTGGTTGAAGCTTTGTATTCTCATTTTGGTCACTTTCTTTAATGTGTTCTTGTGCCATACCCCCATACCAGTCCCTGCTGCTCTGGACTTCAGATACCTTGCTACAGCTTTTTAGTACCACCAACATTCATTAGGAATTGCCTGTGATTAGAATATCCTTTCCCAAGGCATTCTTTCCCTTTACCAAGATACTTGCTGATGGATCACATACGTCTAAATATTCCACGATACGGCTTTTCTATGCTGTTCCTTTGTTTTTCTGCTGTGGCATTCTTGATGATCATGAAAAACTAGGACATTATTGGAAGGACAGTTTCTCCACTGGCTTGTTTACGGTGAAGGGAGAAAAATGAGAAAATCTGATCTAGAGAGCATGTATAATACTAAGATCATAGCATGAACTGTGAAATATTTTCCAAGTTTGTGCTGTATCTAGGATGAGGAGTTGTAGTCCTTGATTACACTGGTATTGAGTAGCCTTTGAATATATTCATAAGTCCTTGAATACATTAGTATTACTCCATACAATTTATGAAAATTGTTTTCAAAGATTATAGAATAAGATTCATGGAAAACTACTGTAGCCCACATCTGGTCAGATTAGATTAGTTTAACACTTCAGGTTAATCATACCCAAGAGCATGTGTGCTTATGGGGAAGTAGCATTCTTTTCTTCATGGTCCCCAATTTGACGAGTGAGTAATCGTTAGCTGAATCCCTGTGTTCTAGTCGTGGTCAATTCACCTGTGTCCCATCACAGCTTGCTTATTAGTGACTTCATCTTTTCTTTCATAGAATGTCAGAGCTTAGGACATCAGTCTGCATTGCCTGCAGCCTTCAGTAAGCTCACAGTCATTAGCCTGCATGCAGTAGGCATGTACTTGTGCAACTGAAAATCCTGTAACTCAGCTTAGCTGAATGCTGACAGTAAGTGTTAAGTATTTTGGCCTAATACCGGTATCATACGATCCTCCATTCACCTGGCAAAAATACTGTTTTATGACACACTTTTTGGCTGAGTGTTGCTTGCCACTGAGTACAGCTTTTTATTTTCCAACTGCTTCATTTCATACATGACTGACAAATAGACACAGGTGTTTTAAAAAAAATTTAGCTGTTCAGAATAGGTCCACTGAGATACTCGTATGTGATCATTATGATCAAAAGCAAAGGTTAGTACATTTTAAAAGTGTTTGTCTTGTTTTTTCTTTTTTTTTTTTCTTCTTCTCATCTCTTATTTCCACTGCCAAGTTAGAGGAAAACATGAAAAAACAATTTTATACGTTGGTCACTCAGATTTATTATTTATTTTTTTTGCCATGTCTAGTCTCCATCTCCAGATTCCTCGTCCCCTCGGGGTGCTGAATCGTCAAGTAGGCAACATCACCAGGATGTCTGCAGTACAGCAGAGGCCTCCACTAATAAAGAGGTAGAGTGATATATTTTTAAAAGCCACAGTCTTGTTCTTGCTGCTTACACCTTTTTATTTTCCTTGCACCCTTGTTCCTGTGCAATCCCTTCACGTCTTCCAAACTTGCAACAGCCTTGAAAAGCTGATTCGTAGCTCCTTCCTCTAATGCTTGCCTGGCTGCCTGACTGAATTTCTAACATACTTCAGACTGTTTGTCATGGCATTTCTGACTCTGTGTTCAGCTGCCACTAAATTTATTTAACAGACTGGGAGGCATTGATTTACCAACCAGCCAACATCACCTCTCTATTAGAGGCAAAAGGAAGAAGCCCTTTCTTTGTTCCCCACAGAATGTCTTCCTGCAAAGAAAAGAATGTTTCTCAGCCAGATGAAAAAGCTTGCTCAAATAAAATTAATTAGGTAGTAGTTTGTGCTGCTTAATATTTTGTCATTGCAGAAACTGACCTGCTAGTGATTCACAGTCAGAATTCAGTTCCTGACTCCAGGCTCCTCAAAATAAAGCTTTGCAGTGTGAAAAGAAATTCATTTGGCATAAAAAGTATTTGGATAAGTATAGGATGGCTCGCTCTGTAAACAGGAAAATCTGCAAATGTTTGGTTTATTTACTTTTTGGTTTTTAAACTTAAAAAAAATCTGGAAACTGTAGTCTAACGATACCATATTGTTACTGATAGCAATGCATGAGTTATCTTCCCCAAAAAAAACCTGTTCTACTATAACTGGAAATACTGATTAAAATTGAAACACTAATTAGTGTTAATCTTGTAATGTGTGTATTTGTGCCAGTCTGTATTTGCATTTAGAAAATAATGAAAGGTCTCAAAAGACTTAAGAAACTCAGTTTCTCATGTGCTAAAGCCTTCAACAACAGACTTTGCCATTAAACTTTCATCTGCTATAGTTAGCTTGTTAAAGCCTTTAGCTTTCTTCAGTACAGATTTTTTCACTTCATACATATCCTAACTTTTAGCAATTTTCAAATATCAATAAACTGACCCAAAGGAAGAAAACAAACAAGATGCTACTCATTTCAGTTTTTAGCATGTGCTCACATGTAGTGTCAGAGGTAGTAAACCAGTTTTCACAGTAGGATGTGTCAGGCTATTTGTTTCCCTCAAATGAGCAATAATACCTGCTTTAGTACTTCCAATGCAAGAACAGCAGTGATAAAGCAGACTCATAATTTTGGGGAATGACTTCTAGGTCTTAGTAAAACCTTTTTTTAAAATATAAATTTTATAACACTAGGTGGCAAGGAGATTAACAGGAGTAATGAAACATTAATGACCTTGATATTTCATTATTCATGGATATGTAAAATTAAAAGGTGTAGGTTTCCTCCTATTGGTAACTTTACCTGTTACTTTACTATTCCTGTGGTCTTAATAGAATGTCTTTCAACCTGGGCAATGAACAAATATCCTTAATTTTGTGTGGTTTTGCAATAAAATCGTATATGATGACAATTTACACCACTCTGTCCTGAAAAGAAGTTGCATCGGCTAGTCAGATTGCTGAATAGTTGCCAAATGTGTAGTTAGAGACTTTGGTCGCTCTGTTTAAAAATATGAAAGTTCTTTGGAAAGGGCATTTATATGCGTGAGCTGTCTCAGGTGTGTAGGGGATTTGTCCTCTAGGCCAAAGTGTTGAGTCCAGTGGTTGAACCTCGCTCCTAGCACTGCACCAGCAGCAATTAACAAACAATTGCTGAAGTCAGTATGGGTGGGTGGTCCAGTAAAAACATTCATCTCAAGAGATGAAAGAGACACAGATCTGAAAAGGCATGTTGGTGTCCTCATAGCAACTTAAATGCTTTGGCAGCAGGAGATCATTGTTTATTGGCATCTTTATTTGTGTTAGTACAATCCCTGATGGAGAGCTTCCTTGGTTTCGCAGTGCAGTTTAGTCATTTTCGTAAGGAACAGTGTCAGGCACCTTTTGTTTTTATTTCATGAGTTGTTTTATTTTATAGCAAGACGAGCACCACTGGTGGAAAAATATTACTTGTTACATCCATTTTCTATTTGTTGCAGTGGAAAACACTCCCTGGGGTTAGTCACTAAACCTGTCATGTAACTGTGACCTTCCCAGTTTACCTGGGTTTTCCACTAATACATAGAACCTAGTAAGTTGCCCATCATAAAGGAAAATAATTTGGCATATAATTCAATGGATATTGTCTGGAAATATACTGGAAATTGTCTAAGATATTATGCATTATTCTGATCATATAGAGATCTTCTTTTAATAAAACTCTATCAAGCAGCCATTGGAGTTACTGCTAATACAATCAGTTGTAGATTCGCTAAAATTTTGTAGTCCTTGGACTATCCGAAATTCTTATCTGCAACATACAATAGCAGCAGATATTTCAATATACATATTACCATCTATATATTGCCACACAGAATTTTCTTTGATAAATTTTCCTATATGTTTTATGTTATTGATTATAACAAAATGGTGAGTCTTACTCACTGAAAGTTGTAGCTTATAGGTGTTCCAAATGTTAACCACATGAGTCTTTCACACAAAATTGCAGTTGGAAGTATGGTCTTACTTTAGATGATGTATTTACACATGCAAGTCGGGATTTTTTTTATTTGTTCACCTTTTACAACATTGAAGCTACCAGATATGGTTTTGTGCTTGATACAGGGATGAAGTGTTAGTGAATTCAGTTACTCCACAGAATACAGGTAGCTGCCTGACCTGTTAAAATTCAGGAAGCTTTTTGAAGGCTGTAGTAATGTGAGGGATACATCTAAGAACAGTCCTGATGAATAACAGAATTTGGTTAATGAATACAGAATTTGGTTAATGAATAACTGACTGGGCTGATAGTTTCAGTCATGAGTAATAAAAGTACAGTGTAATCTTATATATTCCTGCATATATGTATTAGTAGTTGGAAGATCCAGTATCTTTGAGATGTGATGTGTTTTCCTGCATATTTCTTGCTAGTAAAAGTAGAGCACCTATTGGTAGACACAGTTAATATACTACTGAACACCAACAAGTAGCTGAAAACTGGGCCTAGCATGTTGCCTGATAGATAATGACACAAATGGAATACATTGAATTTAACTCTAGTAGCTGCTTAGAGTTTGAAAATACTAAATATAGTAATAAATCTTAATAAATGGTGATTGTCCTTTGCTGTGACTAATTTGCTTTTTTTTATTTTGCATGGAGAAATTTTTACTGCGTATTTATGCATGCTCTGTTCTGTTTGAAATCCTTTTTGTCTTAATTACAGTCCAGAAAAAGCTTGGCTTCATTTCCAACCTATGTTGAAGGTAAGATAGTTCTACAATTTCTAAATTTTTTTTCATATCCAAACCCCACCAATATTTATACTGTATAAAATTGTATTTTTATTTGCTGAATAGAAAAGCTGCTAGGGTTGGATATACTGATTTAGATTAAATTGTGTCCAATCTGGAACCTGAGCTAAATCCTACTGTGTTCTTTCAGAAGTTCAGAAACATGGAGCTTTTATTTCTGTTAGTGTTTCATTCATAGTTTCTGTCTCAGTGCTGCTGGTTTTACATCAGTATCACTTAAAGCACTACTGATTTTTTGTGGTATTTACACAACACATGTGGGTGTGTATGGACAAGAAAAATAGGTTCGGCGCCGATTTCAATTGCCAGGCTCAATCCAATCTCAGTTGGATTAATTAATGGAATTAAATTAATTGGATTAATTGGCAGGCCTGCCAGAGGAAATCTGCACTGCTTTTACAGCTACTTGTCCTCTAATTAAATACTGCTCCCTGTTTTAGAGTTAAGATTGTGCTTGTACTACTGCTGAGTTTATTCAGAACAATGTGAAAAAGCAAGTTACCTGCTACATGAACTGCTGTTACCTTTGTATGAGTCTACATCCTGTGTTTACAGGGAGACTGCATGCTGTAAAACCCAGTTATGCCATTATGAGAGCATGACAGAAGCAGAAAATTCGAAGTTTCATTTGGGTTTTTTCCCCCAACAGCATTTGTTCCATATGCTTGATGAAATGCTAGAAATACAGTTGATGTGATGTGTCATTTGGACTGCCTTGGAACTCCTTGGATTGCTTTACAGTGTGCTGTGTTTAAACGATTATGTGATCATTCTCTTTAGACTACAAATTGTCCATTGGTTTAGCTTTCAGTGTATGAGCTGCGTATTTTGGAGTCTGTGGCCAGAATGTCAATTTCATGTATTGTTTTGAAACTAGCTGGGCTTTGGAATTTTGCAGAAATAAAGGTTCTCTCTTAGAACTGAAATTCATCACCTAGTGGTAAACCTGCCTATCAAGGGCTATCTTCAATAATCCTCCCCTCCTTTAAAAAAAAAAAAAAAAAAAAATTGTAAACTACACTTTTCTTAGATCTTGGTCCAGTGCAAAATTCCTTAGAAAAAAAAAAAAATTCCATTTATATGCACTAGCAGTCCAAGAACCTGCTAGGACCTATGCTACACTTCCATTCAGGTAATAATTTCATTGTCAGAGGTAATAAATGGGGGGGGGGTGTGTGTCTTACAAAAGGCAGTGCTGTCTGTACATTCACCTCTGATGAAGACAGAGCACATACCTTTTTTGGTTTCAGTATGCTTCCTTCTGGAAGTCTTTGTCAGTGTATGTTTATGGTTTTTGTGTTTTGATCAGAAATTGTACTATAAAGGGTTTTGTATCCTTTATAGTGAAGTGGTGGAAGTGGTGAACAAGCCTTGACATGGAGGGTAACAAATAGCAACTCTTAAAATGCTGTATGGTTTCAGGACTGGAAGAGTGTACAAATATATAGTACTTCCAGATGCATAAATTTCCCTAAGGAAAAAATGCCATCTCTTTTTGGTCACGTACTTGAAGTGACTGGTCCATTTTGAGAGTTTTCTAGATACATAGTATCTGAACAAATTCTGCACACTGGAGATGAGCATGTTAAAATGACTAGTCATAGATTTTCACATTTAAAGAAACCATAAAGGAGACAAACTTGCTCACAAGATTTATACATCTACGTCTGTCTGTGTGTGTAGTTTCAGTGTGATACCTATCTCCAGCTCTTTCTTCTGTTATTTTAATCTTAATAATGCCTTGCATTTCTTTGGGGCCAAAGTTACCCATGCTCATTCTGAGCGGTTGTTAATCTCTTCTGTTACAGTAAGAACAAAATTGGCATTCTGAGTAATGTTAAATGTTAAACTCCAATGCCTTATATCTCAAGATACCCCTTGAACTAATAAAAACTCTATTCTGATATTGTAGAGTTTTTGCTTTGTTCTTAGAGAAAAAAAAGGCAAACCCAAAACCAGTTTATTTTTTTGGTGGTAAGACGTGGACACTTTTTACCATTAGCTTTCTTTAAGGTGATTTGCATTTTCACTTGTCTTGAACCTCAATTGTTTTTCCTTACTTGTAAGAAAGCAAGAAGCTTCATAGGTTAACCAGCCTCCCTTTTGGATCATCGAAATTTTAGCATGTAGCAAGGTGTTAAAATAGAATATTTTTACATCTACAGGTTTTAGATATAATTGCCAAACACCAAAACACTTCCAGATCATAAATGCTGCTTTGTAAGGGTATGCATTTTTGGGCACTAAATGCTTCACCACCCTCTGACTTTCCACGGAAGCTGATGGGAGTCAGATCGTTAAGAATCTGTGGGATTAAGAGAGTTGTTTTGCCATCAGAAGGGCCCATGCTCTGTGTATTTAACAACATTTTTATTTAACTCTCTGCCTCAATATCCTCGTTGAGACTAAGAATGATTTTTAAAGATCTTTGGCATAAAAGTAGTCTGCTTAATTGGGCAGTCAGTCTTCTTCGTAAGGGGAGACATCTTATTCCTGTAAAGCATTACCAAGGAGGCTCCTGTGCCAGTTGTACTGACCACAGCTACGCACAAGTGAGCAGGTGGCTGATGGCTGTTACTACATTGTACCCTTCCTCCTCCTGTTTGCGACTGTTGGTCTTACAATTGCAAGGCTGGTTTTGGTGCTCACCCCTCACCCTCTGAGTTAGGTGGGACACCTAACTGTGTCTGTCCCTTTGTAACAGGGAAAACTCAGAGATTATAGTGCTCCAGGCTGACCCCTGCTCACAAAAGAATGAGCTATTGTGAGAGACAGGCTGGATTAACAATTACAGTTTTTGCTGGAGAGATGTCGAGATCATTTACTTGGCATTTTGTACCTTTGAAAGTACTGGTCACCATATCATCATGATAAACTAAAGTATTTCAGAGGAGGATTTGCAGCCGTCAGGGGCAGGCTCAAATTATCAGAGTACTGCTGTTTTGCTGTGGTTCAGCATGGTTTTCTTCAACGTTTGCTTTCCTGTGTTACAGTTCCTGGACCTTGCGATCCTGAAGACTTAATCGATGGAATCATTTTTGCTGCCAATTACCTTGGCTCAACTCAACTCCTTTCTGATAAAACTCCTTCCAAGAATGTGAGAATGATGCAAGCTCAGGAAGCTGTCAGCAGGATCAAGGTGAGGAATTTTTCCTGCTGCTTCTCATACGGGTGCTTTAAGGTTGTGGATATGAACTTCCTACGTATGCAGTAGGTTTTTTATGTGGGGTTATCTGTGGTTTCAGAAAGGTTAAGTGCCTCATCTTTCTTTCCGCAAAATAAATCACGTTTAGTGCTGCTTTTGGAACAAGACTCATAGGGAGAAGTTACCAGATCATTTTAATTCCCTAATGGAATATTTGTGCTGTGTACTCTTAAGCCAGAATCTGAAGTGAGTGGTTGTCTAAGTTATATATTACCTGGGTGTTGAGGGAAAACAGCTTCAGGATATAACCAGTAAGTACTGAAGCTGCTTCTGGCTTGGCATTTGATGGAATTACCACATTACTGTGGTAATGTCTGTAGTTATTTTTGACCCTGCTGTGGATACTAGTTTCTCTACCACATAATAGCAATGAGCTGATTTAAAAAGAAAAGCCTGTGATGATGGTACAGAGATGTATGGAAAAAATAATTTATCCTGGAATCCGGTATGTTTGCTTTGTTTGTTTGGAAAACAGAAATGCCCACTGATTTTTGTACAGACTGTGACAAGCAATGGGCACACTGCTGTATTATAAGTTACAATGATGACAGAAATAAACTTATGTGGGTGAAGTATTGTAGGGTTGTAGAAGCTGCTGCAATATTCCTGCTACCTATACAGGGTAGTAGGCACACAGCTTCATTGTCCGCTAATTCAGCTAACCAAAACAATTTTCCTTAGTTTGATATTTGTATGTTCTTTTGTGTAGTTTGTTATGGATTCCAACTCAGACTCTGTGTGCAATTGTATAAGGAAGAGAGACAGCGTGTTATCAGCAAGGCCGATAGCACTGTCTACTGAGGTCAGCTAATGCTTCCTACTGTTATTCCTTCCAATGTTTTCCACACCAGGTGTTCAGGTCGGTCTTGTGATTTAACCCCACCCAGCAAATAAACACCGCACAGACACTCGCTTACTCTCCCACCCTCCAGGTGGGATGGGGGAGAGAACTGAGAAAAAAAAAAAAGTAAAACCCTGTGGGTTGAGATAAAAACAGTCTAGAACAGCAGAGGAAAATCAAATAATAATGATAATGATAATAATGATACAAGAATATACAAAACAAGTGATGCACAGTGCAACTGCTCACTACCCACTGATCAAAGCCCAGCCCGTCCCCAAGCAGCAATTGCTGCCCCTCAGCCAACTCCCCCCCAGTTTATATACTGAGTTTATATACCATATGGCTCATGTCATATGGTACGGAATAGCCCTTTGGCCAGTGGGTGTCAGCTGTCCTGGCTGTGCCCCCTCCCAGCTTCTTGTGAACCTCATGGAGCAGGGGAAGCTGAAAAGTCCCTGACTAGTGTCAGCACTACTTGGTAACAATGAAAACATCAGTGTGTTATCAACATTCTCCTCATCCTAAATCCAAAACACAGCATTATGCCAGCTACTGGGAAGAAAATCAACTCTACTCCAGCTGAAACCAAGATGAGTCTGTGTATGAAACTTTCACAGGAAAGCTCCGGCTAGAAGCATTGAGGCTCTTCCAGAAATTGTAGTTTTGCTGATGTTCAAATACATAATTTCTTGTAACCTTGTCTCTGAAAATCACTAACACTCTTTAACATTTTAGAGGAGGCAGGGATGTAGCCTTCCTGTTACAGAGAAGTCGTCTTCTGCCATCTCTGTAGAAGTTTCCACAAACTTAAACAACTACTGAGCCTTTTGAAAAAGAATGATTTTTCTGTGTTCATTGGAGACTCTGGATTCAGTGACATTTTTTAAAAAGATTTTTCACTGAGCTTTCTCAACCCTGGCAGGTCTTGGTGGGTTCTTCCCAAAGCTACAGTGGAGACTTTCCCTTACAGAGTCTGCTTCTTCCCTGCTCTGGGTGCAAGTAAGGCTGTGCCTGTCTGTTTAGTAGTCCCCATATGTTCTTTCCTGACGCTTGGCCGCATGGTGGAAAAGTTAGTGGTTTGAATATGCAGGAAACTAAGGGTAAGATTGTGAAGGGAGAGAAATAAGGGCTTCAGTGAGGCTGGATCTAGGAAGGACACATCACTGGAGGTTGAAAGGAAAGATTAGCATCAGCTCTCATAGGGAAATGATATCAGGAGTTGAACTTGAGCCTGGGGCTGGGCAAAAAATCTGCACCGAGGAGATAAAGCTTGCGTGGAAATACACAACAGACAAAGACTGAAGAGATGTGCTGGAGAAAACTGGAACTGAATTGATTCAAAGCAGGTCTATGAGGTATAAGAGTGTAGAATCCTTCTCTGATACTAAATGTATTTCTTAGAAATTCATTAACAAAATAAAGCTCTTTCTGAGGATTCTGCTATGCCTCAGCACTGCTGTGCCTCAAAACAGAAGTCTGTTTAGCTGATTTCACTCATAAACCCCATAATTTATACATCCACATAAATCATCAGGCATGCATATTCTTGGTTGTAGTAAATTTGTCTCAGGGTGGAGGCCCAAGTAGTTGCATTGTTGGCCTGGTAAAACCCTAGCTTGTGTGCATAATTTTCTGAGACTGTAAGTGTCTTTCAGAAAACTGTTGGCTTACTGCATGGCACACAATACCATTGTACACTGCTTTTCTGCTTCCAGGCAAAGCTCAGGCAACGTAAATACACCTCCCTGCACCTCAGGGTCTTTGATTTATTAGGGTTGGGTTTGGCTGGTTTTGTTGCCGATTGTCGTTAAAGCTACACTTTAGTGAGAAATTCAGTATGACAGATGGAGTTCCTGCTGCCAGATTCATCACTGCGGAAGATAGCCTTTAGCCCAATGTGTAAAATACTGCTCACGCAATGACTATGTAGGGCAGTGACTTGTGCCCTACTCATGTTTGTTTACAGTGTTAGGCGTTGCATGTGAAACATTTCTCTATGGCTAAAGAAAACAGGTTATGAATTAAGAATCAGCTTTTAAAAATTTGCAGACTTGAAGTTAAGAGCATTAAAAAGGGGAGAAGAGTTTTGTTTAAGGTCCACTATGCACACATACCTGCCATATGACTGTGTTCCTTTTGAGTTTAATAATCCCCATAATGGTTCCTTTTAGCAGAGCCTTTAGACCACGTACTCATTAGAATATGAAAAAAATTTCGAAAACAGTTCTCCACGTTGCTTCTTTAAACAAGTATCACTTCAAAGTACAAGAGCTGGGGGTTGTCTTGCTTGGGTGTTCATCTCTGTGAAGTCCAGCTAAGTTAAAACAGAAACACTGCTTTCAAGGCATTCGTCAAACGTAGTTACTTCTTATTTCCACTAGGGGGTACCTTTAGTAATAAAAAAGGTCTCTCACCATTTTCAGACTGTAGTCTCATTTCTTCAGATAGCATAGAAAGAAATATCTTTTCCCATTTTTCTTGGAGTGGATCCATAATACCTGTAAAAGTAAAAGAGATTATGTTCATGGTTACAGTTCGCAGCTGATCTGTGCTGTTACGTTTCACAGGTGAACTAATGATGAATCTTCTTTTTCATCAGCAGATTTGAGCTTTGTGGCGGGTTTGAACATTTTTAGATAACAGCAGATTTAATTACTGAATGCAATTTAAGACAGAGCTCATATGTGGAAACAGTTTAATATTCTGCGCATCTTGTTTACTTAGTGGTCTCTGAGTTGCAGTACATTTTTTGTATAGGTTAAATGGGTTGAATATATTTAAGACATCTCTGTAGCAAAAGTGAAAGCTTGCTTGTTTTTAACAATTCATAATTTTGTAAAATGATACTAGATATGTAGTTACATTTAATTTACCTTAAATTAAAAGCCTGGACTGTGTATATTCAAAAAAAGAATATTTTGTTTTGATTATGTAGTTTCTGTTTTTTCTAAGAATATAGACAGAATCTTTTGTTATAAATTAGCAAAATAACATGGTGATGAAGAGAATTTGTCTGGTAAAGTGTCTTGCATAGAATTGTCCTAATTTGTTTTTTTTCGTGGAACATAACTTCTTTTATGACATTTCTGAGCGGTGTTAAATCACTTACTAAATGATTGTTCCATATCATTACCTTAGTTTTATGAAATATTTGAAAGTCATTCTTCAAAAGATTAAAATACCCCTAAGACCAGATGCTTCCATTGCAAGAGCAGAATTTTCAATAAATTGAATGATAGTATACTTCAATTAATCTTTGATTCTGCATTGTAAACCTCTAGCACAACGATTTTTTTCCCCCCCCTTTTTCTTCTTTCTGGCCTTCTTTTGTGAGATCCACCACTCTAAAATTTAGGGAGGGGAGGGGAAATTGTCTGAAGGGGAGCTTGATTTTGGAAAGCCATTTACATGCTCTATCTCACGGGTGTCTTCCCCTTGCACAGTGTGTGGCAGGCAGCTGTTACTCAAGATGAGTGTATTATTTCTGAGTACCAATGTAAATTAATATTAATGTAATGAAAAGCTTGCAGCATGAGACAGTTCTAATTGCTTTTGCAATAGTTTGCAATCACCAGGCTATCAAATATTTCTTAGTTTGAAAAAAGTCACTAAAAGGTGATGTGAGACTGTTTATATTCATAAATAAGCAGCACAGTCTAAAGTTTCAGCAGCTGCTTTCAGATTTGTTTAGATGAAACCTGACAGATTTAAGTTGTGAGCATTGGTATAAAACGTTTGATGTGTCTTGCGATTCAGGCCTCCTGTTTGTTCTCTATAAAAGTAGTTAGCCATGAACCTCTATGAAGCCTGTAATAGTAAGCCTCCTTCCCACTACAAGAACACCTGTTAATTTTATTAGATAAGAGGCTGTAACTGTTGGAAGTAAAAAGACATCTGCCATCCTGGTGAGCGTTGCATTTCTTCAGTAAGCAGGTCTGTAAGTTCAGTTTGCCTTGGTTTGAATTAATGTTTGCAAGGCTGTAAGTATGATGCTTGCAGTTTGTGGCCTCATTGTTGCCACAGAAGTAGCACGTAAGGAATCAGTTTGTTGCAATGGGTTGATGCATCTCTGGATGTAAGTCAATTAAACTACCTAGTGACAAGAGACCTATTTTCAGGCGTTTGTGCTCCACTGCCTTCATGAAAAAATGTGGTGGTGTGGACATGTCTTTGTGCAGGTGTCACAGGAAAACCTGTTGTCCCGATATGCAATGCTAACAATGGTGTGGGGGTATTTGCACAGACGGAGGAGAAAATGGAGGTGAAAGTTACCTTCTGTCATTTTGTTTTTCCAGGAAAACATGGCGTAGTTTCAGGGAGGTTATTTTTTGAAGACTGTTTAAGTTTGAGAGCATTAGAAATCTTTAATCTAAATTCTTCAGACCTGAAAAAGCTGGAATAATAGCGGTTAGGATTCTTCCCTCACCTTTTACACTGGTATTGCTTCAATAGAAGTAACCTCATGGTTTACACTGCTGCAAATGAGGGGAAGCTCTATTTTCTTCCTTTAAAAAATCCCCAAGAAAAACAAAACCACAAAAAGCCCCCTTGTTTGTTGCAAGTAATATTTTAAATGAAAAAAAAATCCTTTTGTGTTCTTCCTGACTCTTTTGGTGAGGTTTCTTTTCATTTTTTAAAGTGATTGTACTAAACATGACATTTTAATTATTTTTTTTTAAGCCAAAAAGAAAAGGAGGACATTAATCTAAACAGGGACTAATTTAGAACAGGTAGTAGTCTGTGAGCCCTGGCATTAGCATGCAGATTCCTGCTTGACTTGGAGTCTCTGTAAGTTCTTCTCTAACTATTCTCCTGTCTCTGTTTGTTCCATGCTAAGCAGATGGCCCAGAAATTAGCCAAAAGCAGGAAGAAGGTGCAGTACAAACTCCATCAGCTTGATGTTATGCCTGTTCTTTTGTTTTCTGGGAGGGTTTTTTGCGTTTCTTTTTATTTTGTGTTTTTATTTTCTGCATCCAGCAAGTTTTTTTTAAGGTTTATTTCTGAGCCACCATGCAAGTTGACATTTCTCAGAAATCAGTTGCCTGACTGGCCATTTTTTGTTGCTTATCATTAGCCATTTCATGTTAGAAATAGAGTAAAGATTGGATTTATCAAATGGTTACAGGCAGTACCCAAAATGCATACTAAAGAAACAGGACTGACATGGCAAAGGTTTTAACTCTGTAAAATGATAGATTAAAATTAAGTCTTTCTTTTTTATTTTATCTTTCTGTAAGAGTGCTTTGTTTGATTCACAGACGTGTCAAATTGCTGGATGCAAAAAAGAAAAATAATTATGTATATACACACAGTAATATGCTGAGATTGACTCATTTTAGTAATAAGTTTTATTTATGGAGTTTTTAAGTATCTTTTAACAAATTAATTTTTTTTAAAAATACGAGTGTTTGCTTTCTGTTAACAAAATGTGACTTCTAAAGTGGGTTAGTGCTTGAATAGTACGTTGTCTGACTGTGGAGGTCTTCTTACCAGAACTGCATTATGAATTGCTTAAACTGTACCCAGCCGTGGTACAGGTCTTTCCATTGGTCTTGCCAGTCACTGTTAGCCCATATAGAAATTCCTCAGGCAAGAGATGCTGTTACACCTTTCTGTGGCTTGTGTGAAAAACCTTCTTTAAAGTGGGATTCATAGTGTGGAGAAAATGGGAGAATCATTTTGATTTTCATGAAATCTTCATAACATAGTTCATGCTGCAGTCAGGAATAATTCTGCTGAATCAGGAAAAATATCAAGGAAGCTTTTATGGGGTTAACAATTTTTTCAAATAATATCCAAATCACTTCCACATGTATGTATGTAGTTTCCATATCTTTGTGTTTATCTTTAGCTTCTGCAGTCTAATACTCTATCTTGCATTGCTGTTCTGGTGACTGTGTCTTAGTGCACCCCTGTTTGTGAGCTAACATCATTAGTAAGTATGTTACCTAATGTGTTTGTTTGACTCCAGTCCATTTATTTGCAGGCTCCAGAAGGTGAATCTCAACCCATGACTGAAGTGGACCTCTTCATTTCTACACAGAGAATAAAAGTACTGAATGCAGACACACAGGTATAGACAAAGAGGCCTTTGTCAGTATCACAGTAGTAGGCTACTGAAACAGACTTTCACCTACCTGCCAAAATTTGTCCTTCAAAAAGTGCTGGGTCTTGTTATTTCCCTCCAGGATTTCCTAGTAAGAAATCCATGCTCAAGAACCATGCAGTTACTCTGGTGTGTCTGGCTGTTGAAACAATTAGAATTTGCAAGCAAGCTAATTGCAGTCAGCTCATTTCTTATGAACCATGATACGTCAAGTATTGATTGTGCTCAGACTAGCTCAAAATGTTTGGTTCTGATAATTTGAAGTTCATGGTCCTTTGCACATACATGCCCAGCATATTCAGCTTCTGATAGGTCTTTATGTGCTTTTCCACAGAAAACACAATTTTAATTTTTAAAACTTGCTTTTTGCTTTACTTTTGGAAAGTGAAGCTCTTGTTTTCTATTGGCATCTCCCTTCATGCATGACAGATATTACAGACTTCACTTACACAAACTTCATTTGTTTTCATAGTACTAGGTGTGCAATAAGAACTTCATTGAAACAGCTGCTCATGTTGGTTTTTGTATTCCCCAGGAAACCATGATGGATCATCCCCTGCGGACCATTTCTTACATTGCAGATATAGGAAATATAGTTGTGTTGATGGCTCGTAGGCGAATGCCACGGTCTAACTCCCAGGACAATGTGGAAGCATCTCACCCTTCCCAAGACGGAAAGAGGCAGTACAAAATGATTTGCCATGTCTTTGAGTCTGAGGATGTAAGGAATTACTCTGTCTTGTAATTTTCTAGGAGTGGAAATGTAAGCATATTTTGGTAGACTTGCAGTCCATTGCAAGTGGTCCTCTTTGTTCATTAACTGCAACCAAATATTTCATCTAAGCAGAGGAAATTCCCTTCTGTTTCCATGTTTGGATCTGACAATTTACTCACAGAATTTATGTTTATAGAAATGCATCCCATTTTTAAGGTCCTTCTGTGCCTTCCAGTAACTCAATGAGAGGAGGGTCCAGTTGCCACAGCTTACGAGTACCAGCTCAGATTCTGTATATAGAAGTCTATTAGAGATGCTTACTTTCTTGGGGAATTTCTAATCCCAAGTATTGCATCAAGGATCATTGGCACATAGAAGAAAGGTGATTTTTTTTTTTCTTTTGAGGAGGAGGAGACTTGTGGTGGAAATAGTTGCTGACATTTTATCAAAAAGCCAGCAAAATTAGTAATTCCAGCAATCCCAAAGTACATTGAGACACAGCTGAGTAAATTTTAGTCTATGGTGCAAGTTACTAAGCTACCTTATATAGGACTTGATATTCTGTCTTCACAATCAATGTGCATAACGTGCTGATTTTATGCACTTTTTAAAGTTCAGTAACTGAAAGGTAAAATCAAATGTATCAGATTGAAGTTGCTAGATATGTAGTTGTCAGGATCATAATCAAGTTAGCCCTAATAATTTGGGAAAATAGAAAATAAAAAATTTCAATTCTAAGCACTCCAGATAGCAGAGTATTATTTAAGAGAAGTAAGGTGAAAATACCAGTTTCTTATAAAATCCTCCTATGTCTTCCACTGTACAGTGTATCAGCAAGGACTTTGAGATGGGAAGGTTTTCTTGAATAAGCAGCTGATTTTATGTAATGGGGAATCTGTTCTAAACCCATGTATGGATAAATTATTTGCAGATGAGTGTATGTATATGGCCTACTGGTGAGGTTAAAAAGTAAGGACAAGAGCATTGATAGGAGTAATCCTCTACCAAAATTTAGACAGAGAGCATAAAAAATTGTGCGTTTTTTTCCCCCAAAATAACATGTAAGCCAGTTTTCCAAAGCCTTTCAAGAAACTGGTGTGAAAATAGAAAGAGTAGCTAATGTTTTTTTGGCTTAATATCACTTGTTATGCTGCCTGCTTTGAGGCTGCTGTTCCTGTGTTTCTTCTGTTCACAAGTTTGTACACTGCTAGCTCACTTTTACCAGCCAGTTGAAAAAGCAAAAATCAAACTCAGATGCCGGAGGCTGGGGCTTATTTACCTTCAGCGTGTGGTGGTCTGACTATGATCCAGACTTCCTGGATCTCTTTCGCAGGCTGCTCTTAATAGTTTGGCTAGCTGGAATCTATGCTTCTTTGGGGGGATCACTGGCATTACTTTCTGTGGTTTGTTTGGTTCAGCCTGTATTTGGTTCAGGTGTGATCCTCCCTAGTGCCACAAGATGTTGGCCTGGAAAGTACATGCCTGTAGATCCAATAAAAGCATTGCTCAGTGATTTGAAAATATGCTAAGAAATCGCAGGAGATTACATTGTGTGTCCTTAGTCATGGCATAATTCACAAATAGCTTTCAAAGTTTATCTCAAATACCCGAATTACTAAGAAAGAGTTAGAATGGAAATATTGTAGCACCTGTTAGCAGCAAGGAGATGGCAGCTTCTAACACTTTGTACACCCAGTGGAGTAGTACAGCCTGTTTATATTCTAAAACTCACATATGTATTTCTTCTTCTAGCACAGCTGGGTATTTAGAAGAATTTACCTAGTAACTGACACAGAAGCTGTAAAGCCCTCAAGCAGGTGTTGGCCAGAATGTGTATCTGCTTGGAAGAATCCTTATCTAAGGAGGACAGCACCAGATTTTCAACTGTATTTAGAGCTGGATCTTCAAATGATCTGAACCCTAGTGATATGCCCAAATGCTGGGTGTCTAAATGGGAGTTGATCTCTTCTTGGAAAAGAGATATATGTGTATGAATGTAAAGTCTGCATTTATCTCCTCACCTAGGTTACTAAGCTATGGAGGTGTAGTTTTCCCATTTTCTTGCTGTCTTGTTATTGCTGTCAAAACTGGGTTGACTTGAGCATCGGTAAAATACTGCCAGCCAGATACTGGCCTTTTCAGCAACAGCCATCATGCTATTCTCATCAGTAGGTTTAGCACTGGTTTGAGTTGCTTTAAGATACAACCAACCTTTTATTTCAGGGGTGGGAACCTTTCCTTTATTAGGGACTGAACTGGAGTTTAAGTACAGCTGGTAGGCTGTATAAAAATACACCTCAGCCGTATTCATTCATCATCAGCACTCCCCCAGGCCTACTTTGTCAGCTGTGGAGCACTCTTCTTCCCTGCCTTTGCCACAGCCAGCACTGTGCTCCACAGGACTGTTTCAGTACACACCGTGGCCAACTCTGGCGCAGTGCTTACTGCACATATTGCTCCACTTATGCACAGCAGTATTCTGCACCATGCTGTGCTGCTTTCCTCTCCTGTCCATTACAGGGCAGGTTTAGGTTGGACATTAGGAAAAATTTTTTCACCGAAAGGGTTGTTAAGCATTGGAACAGGCTGCCCAGGGAAGTGGTTGAGTCCCCATCCCTGGAGGTATTTAAAAGATGGGTAGATGGGGTGCTTAGGGACATAGTTTAGTGTTGGGATGGCAGGGTTAGGTTAATGGTTGGACTTGATCTTAAAGGTCTTTTCTGACCTGAACGATTCTATGATTACCTGTCTCATACTAATCATGGTCACTACCTCAGAGGGAGGCATCCCTCTTTTCCAGCTGCATCCCCCACCTTGCATGCTGCAGAGCTTTCTCCGTGTCTGCCTTGTGCCCGATTTCTCTCCCACGGCTGCAGGCATAGAACAGCTCACCATGGGAGCAATGCAGTGTAGTGAGTGGTGCCTTTGGTGGCTTTAGGTGCCGAGACAGCTATGGGAAGTTGTAGGTGCAAGAGGGTGCACACAAAGGACAGGCTTGAGAAGGAAAGGGGCAGGGAACTGGCAGAGTCCTGGGAGTTGGGAGGGAGGGAAACAAGAAATGTTGGGGACAGAAGCTGAAGGAGGTGGCAGGGTAGGGAAGATATGTGGGACCGTTTCCAGTCACTTAAAGGCCTGGATGCAGTCGCTAGTTGCTGCTCTTTTCCTGTTTCATATGACGCTGGATGTGATGGTTTTAAAGGAGGGTAAGAAAAGGGGGAAATATCCTCTTAAATGTGGTTGTGTGTTTTCTAGTAGACATTTTCATTTTCACTGCTGGCTTTTCAGAGGATGGAATTGCCTCTGCTAGAAGGGAGAGCCATCTGGCAGCCGCACGTGTGGGAAGAATTGTAGGTGCAAGCTACAGTCACCGCAGCAGGTGTACCTTTACATTTATATTAGCAATTCTTACCTGTGAAAGGATGGCTTTATTTACATTTCTCATTTATAATTGCTTACCAAGCTGAATTCGTGGCACAGGTGAATATGTTGGCATTTTGTGGGTCTTTTAAATTAATTTTTAATGCACAAGTATTTTTTAAACTGGATTACAGTAGCTTGACTTGTACATTTGTCAACTTGACTTGATCCATTTTACAGTGTGATTGTAACAGAGAAAGTGTCAGTGGACAAGTCCATCAGAATGTTTCACTTTTATCTTTTCTCTTCTCTGGGAACTGCTACAGGCACAGCTTATTGCCCAGTCCATAGGTCAAGCATTTAGTGTGGCCTACCAGGAATTTCTGAGGGCAAACGGAATCAACCCAGAAGACCTTAGCCAGAAGGAATATAGTGACTTGCTCAATACCCAGGACATGTACAACGATGACCTGATTCACTTCTCCAAATCTGAAAACTGCAAAGACGTATGTCTCATTTTTTTCCATAACAGCATTAAGCTGCTCTGTATCAGTTGAAGGCACATGATGGCAGAAATCAGAAAACCATTAATACCTCCTATAAAGGACCTCAGTGAGCCCTGAATATGCGCCCAAGTAGGACATGCTGTCATCAGTTCTGTTTCAAAGGCAAACAGTGAACCCAAAATTTATCAGCAGTTGAAATGATTTACCATCTGTTTGTGTTCTTTTTACCAAACAATTTTCAGACATGTTTGGCATTGTATGTTAATGAAACTAATTTAAAACAGACTAACAGAGTAATACAATTTAACAGATTACAGTAAACAATATGCATTTTATAGAGGCACGGGTGTGTGAAAGTGACTGATTCTGGATTTTAAAGGATTGTATTTGCTGAAAGGGTTTGCAGCTTGGTTAATAAAGATGACAAGTTCGCTGCTGCAACACACCAGTAGCAGTAGCCACACACAGTCATAAACTCTTGCAGTCTCTTCCTGTTAAGCTTTGTCCAGCAAAGCCCAGGGTTTCTTCCACTCCAGTTTCCTCTGCAAGTAAGTTGTGAGGGGTATTTCGCACTAAGCAAAATCACTGTTATGTAGTATTGATTATTTCATGATTGAATACAAATAAAATGTAATAAAATGTGTACCCTGTTTTGTTTTGCCTTTGAATTAGAAATGCAGGTTGCAAATATGGAGAGATATGTGTGCATTGGTTATATGAATGTTTGGGAGGGGGGATGTTAAGTCAGTTCCATGGGTGTGAAGAAGCTTTTTTTGAAACACTTTTTCTTATGATACAGGTTTACATTGAAAAGCAGAAGGGAGAAATCCTAGGTGTAGTGATTGTGGAGTCTGGCTGGGGATCCATTTTGCCTACAGTTATCATAGCCAACATGATGCATGGAGGACCAGCAGAGAAATCTGGGAAGCTGAACATAGGGGACCAGATCATGTCAATCAATGGGACCAGTTTGGTTGGTTTACCACTCTCGACATGTCAGAGCATTATAAAGGTACGGAGAATGTTCCTGGACGTTAATGTATTTTAAAAGGGTTACATAACAGGAGAGCAGAAATTATAGAACTCCTAAGTAAATTCTTACAAAATGTTTGTACAGTGTATAGCACACCATTTAATGATCTGTAAACTACAACGGGAATTATGCCATACAAGTTTTCTGATTCTGAGAATGTGAGCTATGCCATTTACTTGTATAGACAAGGACTCTGCATAACTTCATTCCGCAAGAGAATATTTTGTTCAGAAAGAAGACATTGCCAGATACACGTCTTAAGACACTTAAAAGTTTTATGTGACAAATGGAGGCACAGGTGCCTAATACTGTCCTGGCCCATATTAATGCCTCCTGGTGTCTGGCTGAAATAGAACTCATGCTTTTTTTTTTTTGTTAATTATAACTGGTTTTAGAAGTTTTTAACTTTGAATTAAAGACATACTTATCCTCTGTAGAAACTTTGCCCAACTTATTTGAAAGTGTGATGCTTCTCTTTGCTTGGCTCAATGGGATATTTTAACTCGAAGAGCTTTCTTCCAGTTGCCAAAAAAGTATGTGACTGCAAAAAGCATCCAGGTCTACTGGAATTGAACAGTGTCTCAGTTAGCTATAGCATACAAGGGAATAGGTATTTAAACAGAGTTTCAAGAGCTGGAAAGATGTATCACCAGGGAGTGTTTGAGATGAAGGTATATGGACTTTGTTATTTGTTGAAATAGCCTCAGAGCTCCTTCAGATCATAACCTGTAGACACATAATGTAATGCTGGTCGTGTACTATATAGAAATCCTTCTCTAATTTCTGTGAAAATGCCTGTGTTAAACTTAATTATTTACAAAGTAAATTTACAAAGTAAAAAAAAAATTACAAAGTGAATTTTTATTTTTTGTACATGGATTAGTTTCTTAATACTTGAACTAAGATGTTTGCTATAAAGACTTCCCATCCTGGTTTCCAAAAATGTTAATACTGTTAAGTTCTCATGAGTAATTGATGCATAAGTCACTGAACCAGCCATTTTAGATTCAGTGAGTAGAAATGATAGCCTGGAAGTGTGACATACTAAAAACATGGCAAAAACAGTCTTACATTTGGGAAGGAAGGAAGGAAGAAGGAAGGAAGGAAAAAAAATCATATTAAATATCTTTGTGCCAGCTTCAGTGGAACAAAACTCCCTGCATATGTCAGCTTTTCATGTTAGCCATACTTGTTTCCTATCCTGTATCAGTTTTATTTCTAAAACTGTGATGAGTTACACTTCTCTGATTCAGAGCCTTTTCAGGTGGAGTTTTGGTGTGTGCGTCTGTATTTGCTCAAAACAGAAACAACCAGCTTTGCTGTTTCCAGCTTCTGCAGACCTTTCTCTTCATCACTGATACTTACTGCTGTTGCTATAGGAACTGCTGGGCATTTATTTTGTCTTTCTGAAGAGAAGACAGTCTGTATGTTTGCAGGTCTTTATAACCATACATCTGGATCTGTTCGTATAGCACTTCTGGTAACAAGTATATATACCACTGAATGATCTAAGCACACATTTAAATGTGGCAGGAGTATCTCAGGATTTCAGACTCCTTTAGCATGCTCTAAGGACTTCTATGAAAAGATGAGACTATTATGTAGATAAGAAGAATATCTTGCAAGCACTTCAAATAAGATAATTTTAGTATTATGGATATAATCTCTGCTACTAATTGACCATAAACCAATTGCAAACTGACAGAGCTCGGAAGAAGCTTTCCATATGTGGTGGGTTTTCCCTAATTGTATTATGCTACTCATATCTTTTTCAGAGGCATCTGGTGCTGGCTAGTATCAGAAGCAGACTGAGGGACTAGATAAGCAAATAAGTTGGCCAGATGATGCAATTGTTTTGTTTCTGATCAGCATATATTATCAGTCTGTATAATACTGGAAATTATCCACTTTTGAAATATATGAGCTTTCTGTAAAATTAGAAAATTATTTGTTGGGGACCACATTAGTTTTTTTTCAAGGAATACATAGAAGTAACTTGCACATTTGTCAGGGAAGTAAGAGTGCAATGATATCAACTCTGTTGAGGACATGTAAGCTGAGTGAACTCAGATGACTGAAGTTAGACATTTAGATTCCTCATAGAAATGGGCATCTCCAGTACTCTGCATGACTCCTGCCCTCCTGGATTTAGAAGGCTCAGGACAAAGCCCCCCAGACTTCTGAGTAAACATCATCCCCACAGTTTCATACAGGTTGATTAGTCCCTGTCCTCTACTATGTGCAGTGTTGTGAAGACCTGCATGTAGAAGATGAATGGCCCTTGAGCATGTGTGGTGTGCTGCTAACTCCTCACCGGAGTGGAGGAGTCCATAGTCATGGAAGACACGGACTTCAGACCTTCTTTGTGCTGAGAGTGGAACAGAGGCAGTTCCCATAGCCACGTGCTTTGTCATTTTGTGTTCACATGTCCGTTGTCTTGGAGCCACTTTCAATAACGAGCCAAGCTGAGCTCAGCACTGTGTGGAAGCAAGGGCAGCTGTTTCCCACGTGGTGACTGCATACAGTTTAAGGCACTGACAAGAAAACAGACTCTTAAGGCAGTTCACCCTGGCAGGATGCCAGTCTAGTTATTCAAGTCACTGCTGAATCTGGAGTTTAGCTCAACAGAATCATCAGCAGTAAATGGGATGTAGAGACTTCAGTGTATTACCTTAGCTGTAGTAGGGATTATTTTTCAGCATTAACCTTTTGAAGTCTGTGTCAGACACCTGTTAATTATAGCAGGACCCAGATTTCAACTGTACATGTAACAGGAATTCAGAAGTAGGTACTGGAATTAGCAGGTGTTATATTAAGTAAGGTGGAAGTTGTTCTATTCTTTATAAAGCATTTCTTTGTTGATGTGGATTTTATTTATATATTTATTGATGGCTAATGCTTTGTGTAAATGAAGCATTTCAGAAAAATATCTTAACAATCTCCAAGAGCTCTGAATACTTGAAGTTGTTCAAGGGGTCAGGTTGCAGCTATCTGTTTTTACATTTGGGTTTTCATGGAGCCATACGATCAGAGAGTCTCTGAGGCTGGCAGTCACCACTGAAGCTGGTCTAGACCAACGCGTTGGTTCAAGGTAAAACAGGTTGCTTAGGGCTGTGCCCACTAGGCTTTAAGTAACTCCAAGGCTGGATACTCCACAACCTCTCTTGGTAATCTGTTCCAGTGTTTTACCACCCTGACAGTAAAAATAAATTTTCCTCCTTCAATTTTCTTCTAGTAGCAAGGAGTTCATGATGAATTTGATATAACTCTTTTAGAAGGGAAGAGGAATGGAAATTAGGAGCACTGCTTATACAAGCGTGGTATGAGCAGGACCTGCCATTTGCTTGACAGAATTGAATATATCCCATTAGGGAAGCCCCTTATTTGAGACTGTCTTAGCTACTTATTTAAAATTTTATTTTCCATCCACAGTCATTGGCATTTTTGGTGAGCTGCATAGACCCGTTTAATACTCTTTTTATAGATTATTTGTGTTATCCAATGAAGAAATCACGGACAGGAAGCTAGTTTTCTTAAAACAGCTGTGTCAGCTTCTTGGCAAGAAAAATTTCGTATTTCATCACTCATTTCACTGAATATTCTGATGCTTGTGTCTGGCATTTGGTGATCAGATTCTGTTACGATGTATACAAAGAGCTGTTTATTCAGGGGTGTTCCCATGTCAATATTTTAACAGTTTTTTCTTCCCCCCCTCAGTGGTCATGTTAAATGTTTCGCTCTGTCTTTGCCAGCATTTTTCATGGTGATTTCTTTTCACAGGGTTTGAAAAACCAGGCCCGGGTTAAACTGAACATAGTTCGGTGTCCTCCAGTAACCACAGTCTTGATCAGGAGACCAGACCTCAGATATCAGTTGGGCTTCAGTGTGCAGAATGGGATTGTAAGTAGCTTCCCCACTCCCTAGTTAAGCTTTAATATACATGAAACTTCTTACCCATTTGTGAGTAAGTTTCAGTGTGGGAAGAGGGAAGGTGCCATTTTCTCCCTTACAGCAAGCAGGACTTCGCACATGTGTTAAGACTAAGTTATTTTTTGTCTTTGACTCTTCACAACTTTAAAGTCAGCCAGAGGAACAGAAAAGCTGTTTCAGGCTAAAGAAGCAAAAATGTGTAGCAGAGGCTGCTTTCAGTCTGCATTATTCATGTCTCTAACCAAACCATTGCAGGATCTCAAAAGAAAAAGGCTGTCCTTGATCCTCTTTTGTTGTAAGGCACGTGCATTCTGAACATAGTTAAACTGTGGTCCTTCATACACTTTTTTATTTCCAAACCACACCACATGTGATGTACAACACAAACACCCTTTTCTGATAGTTTGTCCTGTTCTTGGAAGAGAATATCCAGTAGTTACTTGCCACTAACAAATTTTACTTTGAATCAGCGACTGATTACATTTTAGACTTAGTTGCACGCCTCTGTGTTTAAATGCTGTTTTACAGTTTACAGGCAAAAATGGCTAATCTAAAGCCTCTGTTGCTTATCCTGATAAATTTGTCCTTTCCATTCCAGATCTGTAGCCTTATGAGAGGAGGTATAGCAGAGCGAGGAGGTGTGCGTGTCGGCCATCGGATCATTGAAATCAATGGACAGAGTGTTGTAGCAACACCCCATGAGAAAATTGTTCACATTCTCTCAAATGCTGTTGGTGAGGTAAGAGCATGCAATGTGTCTAGGCGATATAACATAATCCATCACTGTTACCAGTAACAACCAGTGGAAAGCAGTTACAAGTTGTGTCCCTCAAGGGTCCATACTGGTACCAATACTTTTTAATATCTTCATCAATGACATAGACAGTGGGATTGATTGCATCTTCAGCAAGTGTGTGGATGACGCTGAGCTCAGTGGTGCAGTTGATAAGCTTGAGAGGAAAGGGAAGCCATTATAGAGAGACCTTGACAGGCTTGAAAAGAGGGCCCTTGTGACCCTCATGAAGTCCAACAAGGCCAAGTGCAAGGTCCTGCACCTCCATCAGGGCAATCTCCAACATCAGTACAGGCTGTGAGATGAGTGGATTGAGAGCAGCCCTGTGGAGAAGGACTTGGGGGTACTGGTCAATGAAAAATTGGACATGAGCTGGTCATGTGCACTTGCAGCCCAGAAAGCCAACCATGTCCTGGGCTGCATCAAAAGCAGCGTGGCCAGCAGGTGATTCTGCCCCTCTACTCTGCTCTGGTGAGACCTCACCTGCAGTCCTGCTTCCAGCTCTGGGGCCCTCAGCACAGGTAAGACATGGACCTGTTGAGGTGGGTCCAGAGGAGGGCCACAAAAGTGATCAGAGGGCTGGAGCACCTCTCCTGTGAGGAAAGGCTGAGAGAGCTGGGGTTGTTCAGCCTGGGGAAGAGGAGGCTCCAGGGAGACCTTGCTGCAGCCTTTCAGTACATAAAGGGGGCTTCTAAGAAGGAGAGAGACTTTTTACCAGGGCCTGTAGTGACAGGACAAGGAGCAACAGTTTTAAAGAGGGTAGGTTTAGATTGGACATAAGGAAGACATTTTTTACGATGAGAGTGGTGAGACACTGGAACAGGTTGCCCAGAGAAGCTGTGAATGCCCCATCCCTGGAGGTGTTCAAGGTCAGATTGGATGGGACTTTGAGCAACCGGACCGAGTGAAAGATATCCCTGCCCATGGCAGGGAGGTTTGGACTAGATGTTCTTCAAAGGTCCCTTCCAACTCAAACTGTTCTGTAATTCTGTGATTCTACCTCTATTAGCCTGTTGCTATTAAAATCTAGAAGTGGTAGTGAGAGCAAGCCAGCACACCGTTTCTTTTATTGTTTACCTGTAGTTCTCCTACATTTTAGAAGAACCCTAATCTGAAAATAAGTGCCTGCAACTTTAGATGGTTCGTTGATACTAAAAATAATGTTTCATAAAATCACCACCTGCAATACTTTAATAAGGGTATGAAAATTCTCAGGTTTTACCTTTCCCTTCTGTCCTGTATGACCTTAGCTAATGCTCTGTTGCAGTATGCATGTTAGGAAGATCGATTAACCTGTCATATTTCCTCTAGATTCATATGAAGACTATGCCAGCTGCCATGTACAGACTGTTGACTGCGCAGGAGCAACCAGTTTACATCTAAAGCCGACACCTCACCGTCACGATGTGCATGGAGGATGTTTTTCCTCACTAGTGCTTGTCTCTCTAGTGCTGCATTTCTGTGTCTGCAGAGACGTTTCTTTCTCTCTCTCCCCTTCACCGACACAAACACACTGTCTCTCTCTCCACTCTTCCTTTTTCTACTTCTCCCCACCATTTTCCTGTATTTTGGGAACGGGCAAAATATATCTATGGGACTACTTTGGTTGCATCTTTTTACAAGTGAAACTTTGGGCAGTTCCACATGCAAAACAGGAAAATAACAGCAGCATTGTTCACAGCAGGATGCACAAAGAAGATTGACTCTGCTTCATGCTACATAATCAGTTTTATTTTTGTGGCTATAATTTGACAAACTGCGTAAGTTTAATGTTGCTGAATGAAAGATATCTTTACCAAACAGATAAAAGCATAGGGTGCAAAGTGTTCTCTTGGATATCCTGCATGTGACTTTGCTTTTCCTGCCCTATTTTCCCACAGGCACTGAGCTCAGCATTAAAGTTTTAGCTTATGAAAACTCAGTAAATGCTGCTGTTGTAAAATGGACTGTCCAAATACACACCTTCTAATTCCCTGCTGTCATCAATTCTTCGTGACAGTAGGACCCCAAAAGGTACTCTGTGAGTTGCTGAACATGTTACACTCGCATTACTTACACTAAGTAATTTGGGAGGTGTATTTTACAGCTGCCTCCCCCTCTCTGCCCCCAGGTTTCTAACTCTTTGTTTTCTTCTACTTTGTTTTTAAATGCAACATGTGTTTTATAGTCCCTTGCCTATTTTAGAGGTTAAATGAGGCAGGGAGGATCTTTAAATATCTACTAGAGAAATAGTGAGGCGCCTTCCTGAACAGCTACACTTTTTCTAGGCTCTTAATTCTGAATTTGGTGCACACAGCCATGTGTGCCGGTGTATATAGACATTTTTAAAATTGTGCTTGCTATTTATGAAGTTTGAATATAAGAGATCTGCAGACTATTCTAAGTAATTTTGTTCTCTGAGCCAGTTTTAACATATATTTTTGTCCAAAGACCTGTCTAATTTTAATGACTTTCTCTTTAGTTCATGATATAGATAACAGTGGAAGGGATGAGGTGGGAATAAACTTATTTATTTTGTTATATAATTTAACTTGGGATTTTTTCCAAATGTATGGCACTTAAAGGAGATATGTGTGTACTATATGCACTTGTATGAGGATTATAAACTGTAGGGATGTATGAAATCTAGGATTTGACTGGCCTCTAACTTGCATGCTAGAGACAAAAGGGGGAAAAGGGGCTGGGTTGTTGTTTTTTTTTTTTAAGAGGGGATAAAAAAAAAAACCAGTGGCTTTTCTTCCTAGGGAGAGGAAAATTCTCCATTCTCTGTAGTTACTTTTTACCAGGACTATACTAGTGTTTATGCTGAAATCAAACCATGCCTTTAGTCCAGGCTAATATGTTGACTTCTTTTAAAGAAACCGTTTCTGCTGTGTTCTACTGTGATAGAAAGGCTCAGCGAGATGATAACAAGAGCAGGCCACACACAGCCACACACCATGTGCTTTGCAAATGTGCTGTTGGTCACAGGCACTCATTTCTCAGTTATAGTGGGGTGGACTGTGCAACATTAAGCACTGTTTGCAGTCCAGTAATGCTACCTAGGCATTGCTACAGAGATGCATGGAAGTGGATGTGTGTGTGTGTGTGTACGTGCATACGCACGCTTGGTGCAAACGCTCCTGAGAGCCATTGAGCACCCTTGCCAGAGGTCCATTTTTGGCTTTCAGGAATCATGGATACCCATGGGGTGATCAGAGGTAGAGAATAAACTTTATATTTCAGTGAACAGTAAATACTTAAAGGGGATAATAAACTGGTGCATAAACTATTGTAGTAAGTGAATATGTTTTAGTGTTGAGATTAATGTATAATGACTTGATTTTACTGCATTTCTTGTTCTTATATAATTTAATCCCAATCTCCAGAATAGCAGATTGCACAAGCGAGCAGTGTTAGTATTCCAGGTCAGTACTTACCTCTGCTACCTGACTGATGCAACTAGATAGTGAATGAATTGTGAGCATATTGTTTAACTGTAGACATCTTGTTTATGATCATTTGAACGTTTTTCCAGAACTTTCCATATATATAGTAATATATGTAAATATGGTATATAACCATGTACAATTTAGAAGATTATATACAGTGCAGCCTTTCCATAAGTTGCCTGGGGAAACTCAGTGAACTCTCGAAGACACAGTTATCATGCTTCTGGTTCCTGCTGTGTTTACACCCTCAGCTTCACTTGTTTCTGTGGTTCTGTCCAGCTCATGTGGTGGGTTCTTTAACTCACTTCACAGGGGAACGATGAAGATCCGAACGTGCAAATGTATTTTGGGATGAAACAACTGTTCCTTTGAAAATCTTGCACCCAAGATTCTGTGATGTTACTGGCATGCGAGTGCTTGAATGGTTCATGGTAAATAGGTGCTTAACATTAGGCAAGTGAATGCTTGCAGGATCAGAGTCTAGCAAGAAAAATCTCAGTTTTTCCAATTGCAGTGTGTGCGTAAGGTTTCTAAACTGGGAGGTCCTTAGTGTGTACACACTTCTGATAACAGTCTTGTCAACAATCCCATTTTACTTTGTAA